CTTCGAGAAGGAGGAAGTAGTCAGGCTGATGAATGATGCCAAGAGGGCCCAGAATGACCCCCAGCAAGCCTTTCAAACTTCACCTACACATCCCACGAGATACTGTGTACCCCACAGAGTTCTCCCCGCATGTGCTTCCTCTGCCATGGGACTTCACTCCAGGGAACAGCACTCTCTGCTCTCCCACCGTCCTGCCTGCATGACCCTCAGCAGTCCCTGTAAAGAGAGTGTGCGAGTGTGAGTGTGTGTGTGTGTGTGTGCGCACTAAGTCACTTCAGTTGTATCCAACTCTTTGTGACCCTATGAACTGTAGCCTGCCAGGCTCCTCTGTCCATGGGGTTCTCCAGGTGAAAATACTGGAGAGGGTTGCCATGCTCTCCTCCAGGGGATCTTCCTGACCCAGGGATCAAACCCACGTCTCTTGTCTCCTGCATTGGTAGGTGAGCTCTTTACCACTAGTGCCACCTGGGAAGCCCAAGTCCCTGCTGAGTATGTGTCCCCAAATCAAACAGTAAGTAGGATAATTTGAACAAGTGTTTTTTGTTTGTTTTTTTTTTAGAGACAATGTTTGTCTGTACTTGAAACAAGAAGGGAGAGCAATGTAGTCTGGAAAGGGTTCAATCATTTGAAAAAAAGAAAAAAGGAGTGTGAATTCAGGAGTGACTTTCACAGAGGTGCTTCCACCTGCCTCCTGACTGGGTCTTCTTCATGATGGATTAAGAACAAAATAATACAAAAAATTTCATGTCCAAGTATTGAAGTAACTGAAGTAGATCTCATTTTCTTTGGCTAGAAGCCTAGTATTAAGTGCTCTCCTCCCAGATGGCATTCTTAGAAATTATCATTATTTTTTCAAACAGTTTGCTACCCAAGTGGCTGAGTTTTTCATTACAAAATATTAGTTCAGATGGTCTCACACAAACTTATGTTAAATTAAATGTTAAATATCTTTTGATCTCCAGACTTTCTGGTCCACATCTGCACAGCACCAACAGAGGGGTGTGGTACACAAACTGCACAAGGAGAGCAGGGGAAACACCAAGTCAAATGCCAGCCCTGCACTCACACATTTGGCCTCCAATGGCAGGAAAACTCCCCACTCCCAAGCTGAGGGGAAGCTGCGTGAGGGCCCTCCTGGCAGACTCAGAGTGGACCCCTGGACCCTGCTCCTCTATGGTGGGGTCTGATAATCCTGACCCTCTCCTCCAAAGGGCCTCTTCCCCTGAGGCATGGAGGACCAGGTCCACCCTCATATCAGTTCTTCTTATCCCCCAGCCCACTCCACAACCCCCAGTCCTCCTGATCTGCTCCTCTTCATTTTTTTTTTCTGCTCCTCTTCTTAAACCCACATGCCACTGGGAAACCCTGTGGCCTAGCTTCTAAGCCACCTGTGCTGTTCAGCTGGCAAACCCAGGTCTCCAAACTACAGGCAAAAAGGTAAGTTCCTCAAAGGCAGCACCTGTGCAGGTATCCATCCTCACTTTGCATCTTCCCTATCCTCCCACCATGCCAAAGATGGAAGCCCTTTACAGAGACAATACAGAGATAAGATAAGTGGAGGAGAGAGAATATTGGTGAAAGAACACTAAACTCTACAAGGAGCTTCAAGAAACAGGTAAGGCAAAGGAAAGGTAGGTCAGGTGGGGAAGGAAAGCTGACCAAGAGCCAAAACCACAAGTGTCGTTTCTTTTTTTTTTTTTTTCTCCCCCACCCCCCCCCCTCCTCCTAGTGTCGTTTCTTAAAAAGGTTTAGAAGGAAAATGAAATCTGCACCCACTGTATTAAAACCCACCTGAGCGGAATCTGTGATGACAGCATCAAAGCCCACGTAAACCTGAGTATCACTCCATTCAGGCTGACAAAAGATGGACACAAAATTAATGTGTCAGGATGGGGGGAGATTTCTTTTCTCCAGTGGGATTTCCACTGCCACTTCAGTCCCCATTTCTCAGTGCTGCACTAATCATGCCTTTTCCAACAAAAATGATGTGAAGCTGGCTGCAGGAAAAGGGAGGTGGTGGGGGTGGGGAACAGAAATGAGAGGGAGCCATGGCTCAGAGAGACTTGAGTGGAAAATGAAAATATTTGCTGAGTTCCTTAGACTTAGTTAAATTTGAAAATAGATGTCAAAACAAGAAGTGAGCCACATACTAACAAGTTGTTAGGTCAGTTTCACACCACCCCTGTCAGGCTCATCAGCAGGCTTTACCAGGCATGTGAGAAGGTGATGCTTCTGACGAGAGCCATCTGACAAGAGGCTCCGGGAACACGGAGAAGCTGTGCACCGTCACGCAGCACTACTTAGGTTTCCTCTCTGGCTGTTTTTATTTTGTTACACATTTAATTAAGAGCCTTCCCAGCAGTTGCGCGGAATCCTGCTTCGAAAAGGCTGCCACAGAGCTCTCCTCCCTCCACCCCTGCCACCAGACATCTGACTCCTCCTTGCACTCTCACTTTCAGAGGTTGGCTGGCCTTCACGAGCCAGACCCAAACCACCCGCCAAAATCTGCCCCAGTCATCTCTTTTGGAAGATATGTGGCCTTAAGAATTCTATTATGCCTAGCTGGGTCTACCAATTTGAGCCTCAGGTTTTAATTTGGCTTTGTTTTCTCATCTATAAAAGAGAGACACCACCTCCTACCCAAGAAGACAGGTAGGAGGACTGAGAGACATATGGTATGTGCTCATTAACATTTTTTTTAATTGCACTTTATTACAGTCACCGCCACTTTCAAAAGGGTGTATTGTTTGTATTTGGTCCCTTAATTTCTTATTCCTGATTTGTTATAAATGTATCACTCTTTTCCTTTCCTTTTTATACGCTTGCCCCTTGCTTGTACCATGAGCTACCTCGAGAGCAAAGATGGTGTCTATATTTGTTGGCCTTCTTAGAGGCCCTGGCACTTAAGTTGGGGGAACACACTTCAACCTTCCGTGCCTAAACAAGTTAAGGATTTTAAGATTCTGCCATCTAACTGGTTGTTTTGCCTTCATTTCCCAACTGATCTAATTTCTTCCATTTAATGAAATTCTTTTGGCATCATAGAGTAGTAATGCTATAACAGAAAATATCAACTAAGAAATAAGATCAGAAACATAAAATGTAGTTCTTGAAATTGATGTTAGCTGTCATTTTCACGTTTTCCTTTTTTCCCTCACTTCCTTAGTAGTTAAAATAAAAAAGTGAAACAGATTCTCTCCAAGAGGTAAAGGAAAAGAGTAACCCAGAAACAGTGCTCATTAACATGTGATTTTCCTTTTACATGTGCTCAGATTCCCCAGCCCGATCCCCCTTCTTGATGACATCAGTTCCATCAAGATGCAAAGCAGCCTCCTGAGTCACCAAGATTTGTCCAGAGCCCACCATGCCAAGGCCTCCAATGCCAGATATCCCCTCTCCTTGTCATGGAGAAACCGACCCCAAGCTTCAGAGGCCCAGCCAGATAGTCCCCAACGTCATGCGCAGGAAAGCGCTCAGATACGCATGTAAGCACACGCCATTCACCCCTATCACAGACGATGCTGAAATTGGGTGTTGGGACATGAACATGCCAAAGAGAGAAAGCCACTGGGAGAGCAGCAATCTCAGCTAACTAGAGAAACCAGGCCTCTGGCCGGGACCGCACAAGCCCCAGAACCCTGGGTGCCAGCCTGAACCCTGCCCCATCCCGGACAGCTTCTCCTGTGGAGTCCCTTCTCACTTGAGTGCTCAGAGCTGCCCAGGATAGGGAACACTGTAAACCAGAGCAACAGCATTCTTCCTCCTCACCTTCTCCTTGGAACCCTCCCCGACTCAGCTCTGCCTCCAGGCACAGCCCCTATAATTTCCCCAACAATGAGTGTCATCGGGAGCTCTGGAGCGTGTGGTATGCAGTCAGCGTGCACACATGATCCAAGGCCTTGGGGAGACAGATGTGCGGGCGAGTATGTGATCTGGGCTTGCTCTTCCTGCCACCTCACCTAGAGGGTTGGGTCCAATAGCAGGCTGGACAACCACCCGGGTGCAGAACTTCACCTCAATGCCCAACATCCAAAAGGCATAAAAAGGATCTTGGTGAGAAAATAATGCCTGAATTGGAAATGTCACTCCAGAGCCACAACTCCCCACCCCCACCAATACCCCATCCTATGCTCAAAAACTCACACACGTACACACAGAATGCTCGTTGCTGCCTGCAGTCACAAAGAACACAGAGGTATGGATCCTATCAATCCTCAGCAAACAGTGCCTGCCCCCCGCCACCTCCGCCCTGCTTTCGTTCCCCGGGGACTTTCTGAAGCCAAGTATCCATGAGGGTGGACAAAAGGCAGAAGTGTCAGCCCAGCAAAGGAACCGGCTCCGTCTCCCAGAACTGGGGCAGGGTCAGGAGACAAAGGAGAAAAAGCAGCGGGGACGAGGGAGGAAAGAGGCGGCTGGTGACCTGGCAGCAGCATCCCTCTCCCACCCCCACACGGGGCTCTCTGTGGGATCATCAGGGCCTCGCATCCCAACCTGGGAGCCTAACATAGCATCATGGTTAGGAAGATGGACGCTGGAGCCAGGTTGCCTGGGCCTTAATTCTGGCTCTGTGTGTCCCTGGGAAAGATACTTAACCTCTCTGTGCCTGAATGTCTTCATCTGTAAAACAGGAATAATAAGAGTCCCAAGGGTTAGTAAATGAGTTACTATTTCTAAAGCATTTAGAATAGTAAATACTGTGTGCTTGGTTTAGAAGAAAATTAAAGACCTTCTTTTAACTCCTTTCCTTCAGGGCAGTAACATGTAGCCCACAATAGGAAGAGCTCCCCGAGCACAGCTAAGAAGGCAACAGCAGGGCTGGAAAGGTCCATCCAGAGGCAGAAGGCAAAGGTCCCAGCCCTCGTTCTGCCCAGCCAGCCCCCAGACCCAAGGATTGCCTGACCCAGCTGCCCTGTAGGTTTGGACATTTGAGACTGTGAAAGGCAAAACCTGGTCCCGCAGGTTCCAAGCCCTGTCAGCGAAGGAGTCCTGCTCATACTCACATGACTTTTAAGTCCCAGTCTCCACAGGTGACAAAAATTGACTTGACGTTTGGATCTAAGAGGCCTTCCTTCGCCATCCACTCATCGACCCTCTGAAAAGTACACAACAAGAACAGATGAGATTTTCCTTTTTTTTTTTCCCCTGAGTCTCTGAAGAGCCACAACAGTGAAACGCAGATAAGCTGCTTGTAATCAGAGCAGGAGAAAACTGTAATCTTATCCTACCACAGCCCCACTCTGGGCTCTCAGCCTTGGCTCAGAACTATGGAGGCCCTTGCAGGATGATCCCTGCAGGCAGATCCCACAAGCCCAAGTGCTGGAGGGGTGGGCAGGGGGCAGGGAGCCCCTCCACTCTCCCAGTGCCTGGCAGCCCACCCTGGACAGGATAAGGACAGAAGCCAGTAGGTCAGTCCAAATACCTTTGGTCCTCAAACAAAAGGTACTGCCTAGCACAGACACAGGCTGGCCTAGGCCATGAGAACGGGCTGGAAGGAGGCCCCCAAGCAGGGAACTCAATAAGATCGTTCGCTTGTTTAGTCATTCCACCCTCCCACCAAATGTTTACTAACCAAATGTATTAATTTACTTATTCTCCAAATGAAGGTCAAGTTAATTTTCACCAAGAGGCTAGCAGAAGAGGCTCCTCTGCCAGGCTGTAGCCCCATTCTGACAACTGGGAGAGCACAGCCTGCTCCAGTTGCTAGAAGTTCATCAACTGGCCCCAGAATCTGCATTTTTCTCCTCCTGGTTGGGGATTCAAATTCAACAGAATCTTTTGAAGGCTGAGCTCAATTGCTAGACAGGGAAAGAAACTGCTCCTAAACACACTTTAAGTCTTTCTTCCCCTTCATCCCTTGGACCCGTTTTATTATTTGCACTCACACTGCAAGTACAAATACTAAAATCAGTATATAATGAGAGAATTATCATAAAGCATTCACGAAGCAGTGCCTACTTTTCAGAAGATCCCAGGCATGGGGCAAGAGTGCAGCAGATCACACCGCTGTGCCACTCACACAGGGGGATTATTTTTAAAGGCTATATCGCACAGTCGTTAGAAACTCGGGATTGAAAAATCAGACACATCTGGGTTCTAACCTTGGCTCTTCCGTATCCTGACTGTGTCACTGATGGGAAGTCATTTAAAAGTCATTTAACCCCTCTGAACTTCAGTTTCCTTCATCTATAAAACGAGGTAGGATGACTAACCTTACAGGGTTGTTTTGTGAATTATATGTGATAATGGATTAAGTGCCAACCTAAAAATAGACAGTAGGCTAGGAAGGGGAGGAAGACAGATCATCTTAATACAATATAACAGAGGCATCAATGGAGAAGCACCCAGGATGCCACTGGACCAAGAAGAGGCAGAGGCCAGCCCCAACCTTTCACAGAGAAAGGCATCAGAAAGGCTGCATAAAGATGGCTGAACTAATGGCTGGATGGCTAAGTGTGCCTGACAGCTTGGAACATAGGACAGGAGGCGAAGGCACAGACATTCCACATCTGAGAAGCAACTGTCTGTGTAACGTCTGCCTTTCCCACCAGACTATCAGCACCATGAAGGCAGGAGCTCTCAGGTGTCTTAGTCACTGTCCTAACCCCTAACCCAGCACAGGCCCTTCTTGATCTCTGGACTGAGATATGAGTAAGAAGCAATGTGACTGGAGTTCTGCAGTAACTAAAAGGAAGGGCAGGAACTGAGGCGGGGGGACTAAGTGAGGCCAGACTGTGAAGGCCTTGTGTACCCAGTAGATAATGGACAGCCCATGATAACCCTGGGCTTCCTGGATCCTCAGAGGTTCTGGAGGTCTGGCCCAGCTGAAGCAGTCCTGGAGCAGGGTCAAGGGTACCATCCAGTTTCATGGCTGCGGCAGCCCTACCTCCTGGGACATCAGGGCCAGACTCTGCAACCCTCTTCACAGTCTGCACCCCAGAGCATCCTCTTCAGTGCAAGGGTCTTCCCAGCAGCTAAATTCTGGACCTTCCAGTGCTGAATGTGTGTCTCCTGGGCCACTCTGGCCCCAGCCCTTGCACGGACACACACGCACACACACACACACATGCATGCACACATGCATTCTTTCCCTAGGGTCACCTAAAGAAAATTAGGTAGACATTACATAAGAAAAGAGGTAAGGCAAACCTGGAGCTCCCTAAGTCAGCTAATCTCGCTCCGGTTCACTGGCCTTAAATCCCCAAGGTAAGTGCCCCACCTGCTAGGGGGCTCCCCAACGCCCCAACTCCTGCACAGTGGTCCTGGAAAAGAGAGCAGGACAGGACAGGACTGTCAGGAGGCAACGCCCAGCAAGACCAGGCCTCTACCATGGGAAGCACTCACTGCTCCTCGGAAGCTTAGGGCCAAGGCCATTCACTCATGCAGCAGGTATTCAGTGAGCAGCTTCTGCTACGAGGCTGTCCAGGGAAGTCATATGTTTGGAATCAGGTCTGTCCTTTTCCTTCCCTTCTCTGTTTGAATGGAGAGATGGCTGGAGGGACCACCAACACAACCCGCAGTAGCCAGCGTTCCCGGCTACTGAAGGTATAGAGAAGCCCAGTCCAAGACCGGCTAAGAACAAATGTGTTGAACAAACACCCAGCCGGCCATCTGCTCAGGGCCTTGGTCAGGATGAGAACTAGCTCCTCAGCTCTTTAACCAGCTCAGGGCTCACGGGAAAAAGCGGAGCCCAGTCTGGTCTCCTCAACCCCTCCCAAGACTCCCTCAATGCCAGAGATCTCTCCTCTTCACCCAGAAAGTACACAGAGACTGAGTGAGACTCAGACTCCTTTGAGCACCCTGCTTCAGGGCTGGCTCGGGGTCAGCAGGAGAAAGCCTCCTGAAGACCAATCTCCCCCTCAACCAGCACCTCTCAGGAGAAAACTCCATAACCTCGACAACCCTGGTTTGGTGCTGGCCCAGAAAAAGCATCTTCCTCCCAAGATCCCAGCCAGAGACACTCCAGGGAAAAGCTGCCTGTCCCCTGGCCTCGCTCTGGGAAGCTGGCTGGAAGATAGGGACGGAAGGGTCCCCTCTTTCTCCTTGAGTCTGGTCTTGGAGAGAGCAGTCCAGGCTGAGGATACCCCTTAGTCATAGGGGTGAATCTCCCCACCCGAGAAGAGGGTCAGTGGGGCTGGGAAACACCTCAGAGCTCATCTTCTTCCAATCCTTCAAGAGCCTGACCAGCCACAGAGCCTGGGCCTGCATGCTCCCTGGGACCGGGAACATACTCAGCCACTGGGTGAGCCTAGACCTGTCTCTCTGGCCCTAGTTCCAACGTGAAGAGCCCCAGGAAACTCATTCTGCATTTCTCTCCCCCAGAGGACAGGCCCTCTGGGCTCAAGAAGGAGATCTTCCTCCCTCTCCCATCACCACCCTACTCCCTCCAGGTGGACTCCTTCCAGGGAAGGTGTGCTCTGCTATCCTCCCAGACACTCGGCTTGCCCCTGTAATCGGGGCAGAGCTTTGGGCTTATTGCTCTCAAGGATAAGTAAAGCATCTAATGCAATCCACAGGCTTTTTCTCCCCTCCCCCTAGAGAAGAAGTGCGGGGGGGCCTCTCTCCCCCTCTGAAAACCCCAGGCCAGTGGGGGTGGGAGATGAGCTGAGGCCGAGCACAGCTTCCCGATTCCCTCAGGCTGGAGCACGAGAAGCAGCATCTTAACCTTTTCCAGCTCCCCGAGGAGAACATCCCAGAAGTGTGGTCTCTGCCAAGGGTTCTAAAGCCTTTAATTTGATTTTCCTCACATAGGCAATCGTTGTAATTATTCTGATTAGGAATCATTACCCAGTGCAGCCTCCGCACCCCTGACAGGCACAACGCATCCAGCGGCAAGCTGCAGTGGGGCAGGCAGGCCGGCCGCACTTCCTGGAGGAGCTGACAGCAAACAAAAGCCATCAATGGGGAGTTCTGGGCGAGTTAATGAAGTGCTCACATGCCACAAGGAGCCAACACTGAAGCTAAACAAAAACACCTCCAGTCCCCGGGGCCCCCGCAGCGCCGCTCCCCTGTTCCCAGCCGCCCGGCGCAGGCTGCCAGAGTCACCGGAGCCAACAGCCAGCAACAGCCTCAGGCTGCGAGCAGGCGGGGCCTCCACCGACTCCCAGGGGCGCGCGGACATCTTGTCAGTAACCCTGACGGGAACAGCTGGAGATGACAGATCAATGGTTCAATACTCTCAACAGCATGTCACTGATGTGACAGCAAATGTTATTCTAATCAAGCCATAATCATAGTCAAATTACACGGCTACATTCTCAGGAGGGGAGGGAGAGGAAGGTGGCAGGAAGGGGTCAGAGGTCAGGAATTAAAGGTCACTCTACCTACCTCCAGCACTTGCTGCAGGCTTGGCTGACCATCCACCATGGCTTGAATAATCCCGGTGAGCTGAAAGGAAAGAGAAATAGCCTATGGGTGGAAACCGGGGACGCAGGGACTCAAAGCTGGACTGGAGCCTTTTCTGTTTTCCTCCTTCAGTAGGAGTAAAGCCTCGACCTGCACAGCTGTAGGCTCCAAACCTGACAGAAGCCTTGGGGATCACGTTCCCCCACAACTTCCTGCCCCAAGATGGGGATGCATATCCACATAGGGAGGACGGGCTGGGTCTCAGATCTGTTTTCAGCTTTCATTTCGCAGAAAATCTAATTTTACACATCTTTTGTATTCAGTAGGTAGAATAACTCCTCCCGAATTACTGTGCTAGTAGTCCTCCAGGCTCCTCTGTCCATGGGGATTCTCCAGGCAAAAATACTGAAGTGGGCTGCCATGCCCTCCTCCAGAGAATCTTCCCAACCCAGGGATCAAACCCAGGTCTCCCACACTGTAGGCAGATTCTTTACCATCTGAGCCACCAGGGAAGCTATCAAGGCTTTAGTTTTCATGTAGGCTGAGGGATCTTTCCAACCCAGGGATCGAACCAGGGTCTCCTGCATTGCAGGCAGATTCGTTAGCAGCTGAGCTACCTCGGAAGCCCAAGTAAATTCACCTCCAGGCTCCTTAGGAGCTCCTGCAGAACTCAGGGAATGCCCCCACATGGGACCAGCACCTCTAGTTCCAAGTGCCCCTTTCTCTGAGCCTCAGTGCCCAGCATGTCTCCCTCTGCACCAGTGAAGGGCAAGGGTGCCCTCCAGGCATCCACCCTTCACCCTGCATACCTGGGCCTTCGATACTGGCTGGCCAAGCAGGAAGCCAGCACCTTCAGCAGGGGAAAAAGCCTTCAAACCCAGTCTAGAGGACTTCTCACTCAAGGGCCTCTGTTCTACCCAGGTCAGGCCTAGGTTCAAACCAGCTTGGTGCTTTGGTCTGCTTTATTTTGAAGTGGAAAATATCCCTCAAGTGCAGACTAGAGAGGCTGCCTGCAGGGCCTGCGGCAGGAGGCCCCTGCACAGACATGGACCCAGCTGGAAATCACCGTGGCCGGCGTGCCCCCGGCCACTTCCACACAGAGTACCATCTCAGGCCTGCTTAGAAACTTCTCTTTTTTTTTAAGTGTGGGGGGTGGGGATTAAACTCCAATTAAACTATAATTATGTGTAATGAATACCAAATACCCAACTCACAGAAACCGCTGGCTCTAAGAGGGAAGGTTATTTTCTCATAGCGACTTACACGGAATGGTAATACACACCTTTTAGGGAAGAAATTTTCATTTTAAGAACGCTGAGTTCCTCTAGGTGGGTTTCTGTAGTTCATCAAGTCATTATTAGGTGGTATTTTAAGGAAGTGTAAGGACACAGCCACTCTATTTTATATTCCAGAAACTGTTTTTATATTAATCTGTATTTTAATTGGGTAACAGCTGCTGCCTACAGACTTCCCATGGTCTAAAAGGAAAATAAATTAGAAAGATTAACTACACTGTTGTTTCGCGAGGCTTTAACCCACAGCATGCCCACCCGGCTGGCACTTCCACACCCTTTCCTTGCTCGGAAGACCAAAGAACTGCCCAGCAGAGGGAGGGCCTGAGCCAAAGAGAAGAAAAGGTGGCCCCTGAGGGCGCGGGTGGGGACAGGGAAGGGCCCCAGGTTTGCAGCTTTCGTCGTGGAGTGCTGAGACGTCTTTCACTCAGTCAGCTTCTATTGCTGCAGAGGCGGGGCCCCACTCAAGCAAGCAGGGATCCAGCAGCGAAGAAAAGCATGGCAACCCTGCCATTGTGGAATCTGAGTGCTTCCTGGCAGCCCAGTCCTGGCCCAGTCCGGTCGGCACCCAGAGCCACATGGAGCAGGCAGGGCCCTGTGTTTCGTCTCAGCAGGGTCTGGAGGAGGCCTGTTGCCAACTCCAGGTCCCACAGCCAGATGACTGGTTGCACCCACTACTGCCCTTTCTCGCCCAGCTTCTCTCCTGCTAGGTTCCCCTAGGGCCGAGTCACATCCCTAAGCCTGGCGCTGGGGCTTTGGATCAGGACGATTCTGGAAAAGAGGGCACACAGCCACTTGTCAGGGAAAGCCCCAGGGTCTGCGCACAGTCTCGTGTCCAGTCTGAGTTTCCTGGGGCAAGGTTAAGTTTCCTCCTCTGGGCTCCCACCAAGGGTCACTCAGATGAACTCTGAAGAGCTTTCAGAAAATCCCTCTTACACAGGAGACCAACGCGGGGGTACAGATGGCCTCCAGGATTCTGGGGCTTTCTCACATTCCCCTGCAGTGGTCAGCAATCCCAGAATCATCAGCCTGGGAGGAGCCTAGTGAGCTTGGCTTCCTCCCTCTCCCCATGCTTCCCAAACCACCTGTGGTCCAAGGCATGGCTTACAGCTTATAGCTACGGGACCTGAACTCAACCCCCAGAGACACAGGGGCTTGAGATCATTTCAGGAACGGGCCTCGCTCCCCTATATTAACGCCTCCAACAATGGACCACATCTGATCAGCTCTGTCAAGGCACTCGATGAAGATGGTGGAGGGTGAAATTTAAGAAGTCAATCCCCAGACCCGCATGTGGCGCAGGCAGGGACCCTGAAAATAAACAGCCGCCGCTTCGCGAGCCGTCCTCCCGGTCTGCGCCTGAGTCTCGGCCGCTGCGGGCCCCTGCGACGCGGAAGATCTGACTGCAGCCATGAGCAGCAATGAGTGCTTCAAGTGTGGACGGTCTGGCCACTGGGCCCGGGAGTGCCCCGCTGGCGGGGGCTGCGGTCGTGGGATGAGAAGCCGTGGCAGAGGTTTCCAGTTTGTTTCCTCGTCTCTCCCAGACATCTGTTACCGCTGTGGCGAGTCAGGCCACCTCGCCAAGGACTGTGACCTTCAGGAGGATGCCTGCTATAACTGCGGCCGAGGCGGCCACATCGCCAAGGACTGCAAGGAGCCCAAGCGGGAGCAGTGCTGCTACAACTGCGGCAAGCCCGGCCACCTGGCCCGCGACTGCGACCACGCGGACGAGCAGAAGTGATACTCCTGCGGCGAGTTCGGGCACATCCAGAAAGACTGCACCAAAGTGAAGTGCTACCGGTGTGGTGAGACTGGTCACGTAGCCATCAACTGCAGCAAGACGAGTGAAGTCAACTGTTACCGCTGTGGCGAGTCAGGGCACCTGGCACGGGAATGCACGATCGAGGCCACAGCTTAATTACTTTCCTTTGTCGCCCCTCCTTTTCTGATTGATGGTTGTATTATTTTCTCTGAATCCTCTTCACTGGCCAAAGGTTGGCAGATAGAGGCTACTCCCAGGCCAGTGAGCTTTACTTGCCGTGTAAAAGGAGGAAAGGGGTGGAAAAAAAAATCGACTTTCTGCATTTAACTACAAAAAAAAGTTTATGTTTAGTTTGGTAGAGGTGTTAATGTATAATGCTTTGTTAAAGAACCCCCTTTCCGCACCACTGGTGAATAGGGATTGATGAATGGGAAGAGTTGAGTCAGACCAGGAAGCCCGTTCTGGGTTTCTCGAATATGTTCCCATGTAGGAGGTAAAACCAATCCTGGAAGTGTCTGTGAGCTTCCATAAATAACTTTAATTTTAGCATAATGACTGCCTTGGATTGTCTGACCTCAGTAGCTATTAAATAACATCAAGTAACATCTGTATCAGGCCCTACATAGAACATACAGTTGAGTGGGAGTAAACAAAATAAAAAGACAAGCATTCGTGTTGATGGCTGTGCGAGAACACAGGATAAAAGCCTGAGCAGGAGCAGCCTCACCACAGCGTCGACGCTGGGTAAATAGACGGTGATGGCAATGGTGTAGAACACACGTTTTCAAAGACTAAATCTAAAACCCAGAGTAAAACATCTATGCTCAGAGTTAGCATAATTTGGAGCTATTCAGGAATTGCAGAGAAATGCATTTTCACAGAAATCAAGATGTTATTTTTGTATACTATATCACTTAGACAACTGTGTTTCATTTGTTGTAATCAGTTTTTAAAAGTCAGATGGAAAAAGCAACTGAAGTCCTAGAAAATAGAAATGTAATTTTAAACTATCCAATAAAGCTGGAGGAGGAAGGGGAAAAAAAAAAAAAAAAAAGAAGTCAATCCCCGTACCTGATACCAACAACCTATAAGACACACCAGAAACTATGAGGAAGAGAGAAAATATAATAAAATACATACTGGGAAGTTATACCATAGGCCTAACCTAAATCTTTCACACTGCTGTTTAAGCCCATTCCCACTTGGGTTAATATATGTTTGTAAAAAGCTTTCACATCCTCACAATGAAAGATACTAGAGCAAAGCCAAGTATTTATTAAGCTGAGAACCAGGGCTCACAGGCTAAACAGAGCTCAGAGACCTTAACCACTTAAAGCAGGAGAGGTGAGAGGAAGGATTAATGTGTGCTCCGTGGCTCCTTTCACTGAGGGATTACAGATTAACTCCCGCTTCCCCAGACTCAGAAACCACAAGGCGAGGGGCTTCTGACCCTGACTGATAACGTGACTGGTGACTGAGATCCCCTACCCACACCAGAGCTCTGTCTGGGGACGAGGGGGCTTCCTCGTTCGTAAACACGGGCAAATACAGGAAGCAGCCCTGGACTCTTGCTGCCAATAGCATGTCAGTATCCAATGCTTTCTCCCTTCACAGTTTATCTCCAGCACAATCGTATTCTGACACCAAGACAGTTTGTTGATTACATAAGCACTTGTCTCTGGTGTGCAATCTGATAATCAGACCCACTCTTTCTCCTAGACAAAGAGACCAATAAATCTCACCCTTTACAAGTACAGGTGCAAGACAAAGCCCTTTACTGGCATTTAGCAAAATGGGTATTTTTTCCTATTTTTTTTTTTTTTCTCCACAGTGACAACAATAACAAAAAGGACTGCACATGGTCAGGGACGGTGCAGCAGCCCAGCTGCTAGAGGCAGAGACATAATGAGTTGGAGTGGATTCTAGAGGTGGTACGGACAGGCTTGGGAAGGAAGAAAACACAACCCCATCCTGTTTCTGTCAGAACATCTCCAGGCAGCCTATCAACTGGGACTAAGAAAGGACCTCAAGAAGGCTAATGACATGTTCATCCCTCAGAGCAGTAAGAGTGTCTGCATGCAGGCTGCAGATTCACTCAAGGCAGAACCCCTCTTCCAACTGCCCAGCACTGAGCCTGTCTCTCCTAATACAAGCATGTGCTTGCGCATGCACACACTTGACCAGGGTTCTTAAAAAAAACTTCTGGTGCAAGAGAGAAAATCCTCCCAGAGGACCTGCTTAGAAAAATATGGAGGTTTGGGGTTGTTCTTCACCCTTACCAATGAAAGATTCCTTGTGGTTGGAATGATCTCCCCCCCATGTCCGCAAAGGCACATACTGCCAGACTGGATGAGGTCTCAGAAGGACAGCCCCATCCTGTGTCCATGCCTCCCTTGGCATTACAGTCCATCTAGTATGAAGACAGGGTGATATCTAGATGACCTGAGGTTTTCCAAAGAAGACATTACTTACTCAAAAGAGCAGTGAGCAGTACAGCTAGTCTTGGGGGAGGCAGGCTGTGGTGGAAAAACTCCTTGACACCAGTCACTTGAGGAACATGGATTTTTACTTGGTGTCAGGGCCTAAGAATAGGACCGACAGGGATCACATCTAGTTTCTGCCATCAAGGAGCTCACAGTCTAGTGGGGGGATGGATAAATGACTGCAGTATAATGTATCTGACTATGCTATGCCGGGTTGAGCACAGCCCAGCCTGGGCTCAGTGAAGGCTTCCCAGAGAAGGTGACCCTGAGCAGAGTGCTGGAGGACAAGCAGGAGGGCAGGCGAGGCACACAGGCAGAAGGACCATCACATATAGAGGCGGACTGAGGAAAGTGAGGGGGAGGTGAAGCAGGGAGATCTAAGGCTGGATGAAAAGTCAGGGACCAGGCCAGGGAGAGTTCTGAGCTCTGGGAACCTGAGAGAGGATGGCAGAATCCATGCCTACAGCACAGTCACAGCCTCGCTTCAGAGCAGCCTTCATAAGGAGGATCCCATGCTACCAAGCCTACTACCCTCCAAATTATGTATGCGTGTCCTTCGGTGAGACTTTCCAGAAAAAAGAAACATCTCTCATTAGTCTTGCAATCCCTTCTCCCCTCCCTCAAAAGAGAAGCAGTAGCAACTTTGCTCTGAAAAACACCCGTTTCCCAATATCCTCAAGCATCCACTCCTGCCCAGAGCTAGCTCCAGCAATGCTCCTTTCCATCCCTAAACAAGTACGAGCTTCCCCCAATTCAGGCCTGCCTGTTGATGTCAGGCAGTGAGCTGGAACTGGAGGCCCCAAGGGGGAGGCCTCACACAGACAGGAGGAAGAAAAAGATAAGAGGACACTACACTTTCAGGCCAGTGGAGGGCTCAAGAACCTGGCTAGTTTCAGGGAAATCTTCCCTTCCCTTCCCACAAGGAAGGGGATTTTCACCATTATCATTAAAATGACGATTTTTTTTCCAAAGGGGGAAACAGGACAGATTAGCGCCCCCTAGTGGTACAGGTAATTCCCAGGGGAATGAGGGGAGAAAAGTTGTCCCCAGTGTAAGCCTCATCGTCATTGGTTGAAACAACAAAAAGCGTGAGAGACTAGACACCTTGGCAGATGGATGCCTACAACAAAAGGCCCACCTGGGGCACTGGCATCAAGGCCAGGAGCTCAAGACCCCATATCTGGGCTAACTCAGTATCAGAGACCACTGAGCTCCCCAACCAGCACAGGTAGGCACTTCCCCAACCCCTCCACACCAAAGGGATTGTTTGGAGATTACTCAAGAACTTCTGTCCTCCTGATTCACTCATATAGAGAAAGCAGGTCCCTGGACGATGGCACAAAGTCTCTAATGTACTCTCACCCCAAATGCTAGCTGTTCAGTTGCAAAATCATGTCCGACTCCTTGCAACCCCATGAACTGCAGCAAGCCGGGATTCCCCATCCTTCACTATCTCCCAGAGTTTGCTCAAACTCAGGTTCATTGAATTAGTGATGCTATCTCATCCTCTGCTGCCCCCTTCTCCCCTTGCCCTCAATCTTTTCCCAGCATCAGCTTCCTTTCCAGTGAGTCAGTTTTTCACATCAGGTGGCCAAAGGATTGAAGCTTCAGCTTCAGCATCAGTCCTTCCAATGAATATTCAGGGTTGATTTCCTTTAGGATTGACTGGTTTGATCTCCTCGCTTTCACATTTTCCCAGGATCTCTGCTACCACACACACTTGGCCCATGATTCCACCAGCCCAGCATAGAGCATGTAACATGATGCACCACAGGGAAAAGCAGGCACAGAAGGCTTCTTCATACAGTCCTGAGAGTCAAACTCTTCCGGGGCACCTCCTTTCTGCCAACGGCTCTTCTGAGCCCCCAGCAAGGACCAAGATCTCAGTCCCAGTTTCACAATCCATAAAATGGGGCCACACTAAACTGTTGGCAAGGTGGCCAAGTACAGAAGCAGCCTAGGATAAGGATAGAGACATCTCCGCCTTGGCCAGGCTGTCCTCATACCCCACTTGGACTGCCCTTCTCTTTCCTTAGTGATAGTGCTGTGCTTCCCACAAATTCCATCAATGCTTCACAGAGCACCACTTCATTCAAGCACAGAAAAACATCACCAGACAGCTAAGAAAGCCTGAATATAACCAAGAAGCTGAAATCTTCACCTCCTGCCAAGGACCCGAAGGGGAAATAGAACTGAAAAGAAGCTGAACCCCAGAGCCACCACCCCACTCCTAGACTCCAAGTGCCTAGTTACCAGGAAAGGTAGGGATGACGAGGAAGGGAAAGTGTCAGGGAAGCCGGGAAGAGTGAATCACTAGTCTCCCTGGGCTCCCCGATGACCACAATGATCCAAGGGGAGTGGCAGACTTTGTAAAAAGCCAACTGCTGGGCCCAATGTGTACCTGCCTTAACCTCTGAGAAGAACTATGCTTTCCCTAAGCAGCCAGTATAGAGCACCAATGATCCCCAAGCTCCTGTCCCAGCAGCGCCTGCCGCTAGCCAGGGCCCTTACCTCTGTACAGAAGGGAGTAAGCTGTGGATGGACTACGGGCTGGACATACATGTGAAAGGTAGACTCAATCTCCATGGTCCGGCCATTTAGCTTCAGGATGGGGAACTCGATGATTTCCTGGAACGGCAAAGGCACAGAAAAGGAAGAATCAGTTGTTTTTTTCTAAACCATCCATCTAAAAAAGTAAAAATAAACTAACCATCTCAAATAATTTCGAATCAAGAATGGGTGAGTGTTTTGGACTCAATAGCTCCTGCCAGGTCAAACTGAAGACTCTGAGTAAGAAGATGCCAGCTCAGTTATAATGCTGACCCTCCCACTGTTAACATCCTCACAGGTTCCAGGGACCGACACACTCCACCCTCACTGTCTCTGGGAAGGGGAAGGAGACAGTGGGAGCATCTGGCCCAGTTTCCCTCCACCCCTGGTTCTCCAGCAGGGGTCTGCTCACTCCAGCCCCTAAAAGGAGAACCGCCTTCCTCCTGCCCGGGTCCCTTTCCTGGAAGGGGTCTAAGTCTCCAGTCACATAGATAACCAGCCATCAGACTAATGCACAAACCTCTGTGCATGAAGTTTAAACAGAGTCAATGAGTTTCGTCAGCTTTTACAAAAAGAAAAAAAAGAGATGAGCAATAAATAAAGTCAAAGGTGTCAAAGATGATACTGAAGAGAAGGAGAAACCTGAGTAATAGTATTAAGAGCTAGTGCCTCCCACCTTTCTCTCAGGCAGCACATTCACCCCTCAGCACCGCCCCCCCCCCCCAATCCAATCGCTTAGCCAGCCCTTCCCAGTCCACTGGAACGTAATGGAAGAGAACGAGGAGGAGTGACAATTTGTTTGGTGTCTCTAAGATTAATTTGTCTCCGTTATTTAATAGAGATGCACAGCACCAAGGTCCTGGTGTGCAAACAGGCTTGCAGCATGCCGACTGTGCAGCCCGCCTCATACATCGCTCCTGGAAAGGGAGGAACACGCCAGAGAGTGGGGAGAGGGCCAGAGAGAACACGCACGCGCTGGAGAGACGAGGGGAAGCCAGGAGAGAGAATAAAAAAATTATTGCTTTTTAATATTCAAAAACAGTTTGCAAAATTTAATCAAAGCAGAGGAAAAGCTAACATTTTTACCACTTTGACATTTTTATTAGCGCTTTCATAAATTTTTAAAACATGAATGGAATTAGTTTACAACACACACAAAAAAAAACTGCCCTGAAAACATCTGGAAGAGACAAATAGGAAATAATAAAAAAAATAAATAAAAGCAAAACCCTCCGAGTAAAATTAGCATGTGAAAGAGGCCTCCACTGCAGAGACAGGAGGGGGGCTTTGCCCAATCAGTGGCCCCCAGAGTCAGCTCCAGTGGCATCCTTTCCCCAGGTCGCCCATTCTGCTGAGGACCTTTCCAGCATCACTAAAATCAAGGCAAATTGGTTCTCTCCAGGGACAGCCCAGAGAAACAACAGAGAAGCCGCTGACACCTGACTGCATTCAGGAAATGGATGAGTGGGGAGACGGAAGAAGAAATGGCCTGTCTCCCTGATATTCCAAGGCAGCCTGGTGTCTCCCCACCAAACACACCTGCTCTATGGGATTCGTTTTTCAAGCATCTTGATCCAACAGATCATAGCAGGACTGAGGACCAAACCAAGGCAGCCAGATTTCATGACAGAGAAATTCAAAGCTTCTGGCTCCCTGGGCTGCCCCAAGGATGGGGAAGCTGGCAGGAGCCCCTAGAGACAGGAAGGGCGGAAAAACTAAGACTGAGGCAGAGGGGGGGCGGAGAGGAGGCCCAGGCTGCTGCTTAAACTAAGTGGTGCCTCTCCTCCCAGAGAACCACAAAGTAGGCCAGAGAGGAGAGCTTGGCTCTGAAAAACAACACACACACACACACACACAAAGTGCACACTGGTCCCCTTGAAAAACCAGATACCCAATATTTCCAGGCTCTAACTCTGAGGTGGGGCTCATCCATGAGTGAGGCTCGTTTCTGATATCCTTCCTCTGCCACTAAGTAGAAGAAACACTTCCCCAACAGAAAGACCTCCATAGCCTAGTGGGTTTGGCAGCCCTGGTGTCTAAGGAAACAAATACAGCCAGCTCCTCACTAACAACGTTAGCTGGGCCCACAATGAAATTTAACCTGTGACACAACTGTACTTTTCATTTAAACTTTCATTTGGAGAGAAGCAGTGTTTGGAGACCTGCAGTTTGTCCTGCTAATAAAGACAAGTGTTGGGACCTTTAAGGATGCCATTCATCTCTGGCTTTTATTAAATTCAATTTTCTTAAGCCCATGATACATTATGAAATTAGGAGTTGACATTCCTCTGGAAACAAAAATATCTATCAAACATAAATAGAAAAAAACCCTTCTATTACCAAGAATTTATGGCTTAAAGTTGATCTCTTTCCACTTTTTTACAAGCACATGGTTTGTTTTAGAGATCTGAAATGTTATTATAGATCTAGAATTTTATTAGTATTTATTGTAAAATAGTAAGCGCTTCAGCTCCCGCTCTGACCAGCACCGAGTCAGCATTCCCAGTAGATACTCTTAAAACTTGGCCTTTGGGTTTCCCTGCTGCAGCATCCTTCCTGCCACTGGCTTCCTCACCCCTGGGGAAATGGAGCCCAACCTAAGTGTTCACACTCGAAATCACCCTCCCAGAGAGGAGGAACAAGCCAGCCTTGGCTCTGTATGAAGAGGGGTAACTCCTCTGAAATGTCTGCGGGCCAGCATGCAGCAGATTAGACCTATCCTAAACACCTCTCCAACGTTGTTTGGCCATCAGCCAAGCTTTCTCTCCAAGACCAAGAACAAGCCCAATCTCAGAACATGACTTTGCAGGGGTCCTACCTCAGCACCACCATCAACTATTATAACAACAACCTTACACACTGGCATATTCTTTTGAGCCATGGAAGATGCAAAAGAGGAACTTCTGATAGAAGACCCTCTGGGGAAAAGGACCTCACTTAGCTACTTCTAACCTTTCCATATTGCCCAGACAAGCCCAGAACCTCAAAGCACTGTTCTCAACAGACCATTCATGGAAGAGGAGCCCCAGTCTGTACCAGCTGACAAAACTCTGCAGCCTGTACACCTGGGGTAGGCCAAACACTTTACAAGTTTTCAGCTGATAATGATCAGAGAGGGAACCCCAAAGCTATCGGCTGATAACATTCATTCCACCCAAAGCTTACGAAGATGTCCCTAAGTGCCAGCTTCTAGGGGCAGCTGTTTGGATCATGAAACTGTTATTCTGCCCTTCCTCCTTTGCCCTCTCTCAATTTCCTCATTCCCCTTGGAAGAATTTTTTTTTAAAGGAACAGCTGGATGTCTGTTTGTGTAAAGGCAGCACCACGAAGGAAAAAAGAACTGGTTTGTATTTAACAGCCCTCTTTTCCAGCCCTAATAGTAATTTCACAATGCCTTACTTCTGTATGATGTTTGCATCCAATTAAACTACCTGAGCATCTACTCTGTACAGGACCCTGGTCAGGTGTGGGAGTGCGATTTAGAGATAAGATGTGGTCTGCTTGAGAAGTACATGAACCAGAGAGCAGAAAAGCAAATGATGAACAATGCACTGAGAGAAGTATCTTAAAGGAGCAACATACCCAGGGTTATGCTTTTTATTATACACGTTTTTAAATACACTTCCTTATCTTACCCTTTTTAATCCTGGAAGGTAAGTCATATTGCTGTCATCATCAGGTCATAAACAATACTATTAAGCACCTACTATTCACCAGGCAGGGGCTGGGTGTAGACACAAAGGCAAAAATAATGAGATGTGTCTCCTCTCTCCAAGGTGCTGGGAGCCTGAGCAAGGGGTAGTGAGGAGCTGGCCCCAACACTTTCAGAGACAAACACAAGATGGAATCATTTCATTCTTTCCATTTATTATTTACTATGTGGCTGACAGTTAGAACCAGACATGGAACAACAGATTGGTTCCAAATTGGGAAGGAGTATGCCAAGGCTGTATATTGTCACCGTGCTCCCTTAACTTATATGCAGAGTACATCATGTGAAATGCTGGACTGGATGAAGCACAAGCTGGAATCAAGATTGCTGGGAAAAATATCAATAACCTCAAATATGCAGAGGACACCACCCTTATGGCAGAAAGTGAAGAACTAAACAGCCTCTTGAAGGTGAAAGAGGAGAGTGAAAAAGCTGACTTAAAACTCAACATTCAAAAAACAAAGATCACGGCATCCAGTCCAATCACTTCATGGCAAATAGATGGGGAAACAATGGAAACAGTGACAGACTTTATTTTCTTGGGCTTCAAAATCACTGCAGATGGTGACTGCAGCCATGAAATTAAAAGACACTTGCTTCTTGGAAGAAAAGCTATGACAAACCTAGACAGCATATTAGAAAGCAGAGACATTACTTTGGCAACAAAGGTCCTTCTAGTCAAAGCTACGGTTTTTCCAGTAGTCAAGTACGGATGTGAGAGTTGGACCATAAAGAAAGATGAGCCCTGAAGAATTGATGCTTTTGAACTGTGGTGTTGGAGAAGACACTTGAGAGTCCCTAGGACTGCAAGGAGATCCAACCAGTCAATCCTAAAGGAAATCAGTCTTAAATATTCACTGGAAGGACTGATGCTGAAGCTGAAGCTCCAATACTTTGGCCATCTGATGGGAAGAGCAGACTCATCAGAAAAGACCCTGATGCTTGGAAAGATTAAAGGCAGGAGGACAAGGGGATGACAGAGGATGAGATGGTTGGATGGCATCACTGACTCAATCGACATGAGTTTGAACAAGCTCCAGGATATGGTGAAGGACAGGGAAACTGCAGTTCATGGGGTTGCAAAGAGGTGGACACAACTGAGTGACTGAACACCAACACCAGAGGTGGCAGACACTCTGCTAAATGTGCAACAGGAATGACGACATTGAATCCCTAAAAACTCATCAAATGGGTATACCTATTAGGCCTATTTTACAGAACAACTAAGACCCCAAAAGCAGTTGTCACTTGCTCAAGGTTGCACTGCTAGTAAGGGACAAAGCTGGGACTCCGGGTGAGGAAAATGAGACTTAAAGAAGTAGGACTAACAGCTCTCAAAATCTGAAGGGTCAAGAAAGATCTGATT